CTCCCCCCTATTTTTTCTCTGAAAATATTTAAATCTACGTCATTTATATTTAATAAATAAAAGTACAATAAATGATTCCTTTTAATTGTTAGGTACTTCTAATACTTGTCTTTTAGTATTTCAATTTTCTACCTTAGAAACTAAGAATAAACAGTCACATGACTTGGCATATTTTACAATTTTAATCGGATATTATATTTAGATTTCTTATAATTGAAAAGTATGAATAGTATAGTTGAATATAATTGAACACATTTATGAATTTTGTTCTTTTTAAAATGAGAAAGATACATTTTTGTAGGTATTATTACCAAGGTTTGAGTTGATAATATTGAATAAATTGAGCATTAGATAGATTGTTTCATTGTATGATTTAAATTTGGATTAATTTTAATTTGGTTGTTTATTCTCTGAAGAAGTAACTTAAATTGAGTGACGAAACATCAGAAAATCTAATTTTTGTACTCATTTGGATATTACAAGTATATACATTATGGGTGTCAACAATAACTTCTAATCTCTTTTGATATATTGTAGTGAATGAGAATACACAAGTGGAAACAATCGAATGCATTCGAATAGAAACATTACAGAATCTCTTAGTAAAATCTGAGAATTAGACAATAAACAGTTCATTTGCGAAATGTTAATCAATTGTCTCAGACTTGATTATTGTTTCATTTCTACACTAATCATTCTCTGTTCTCGTTCCCTTCTCTTCAATCTTCTTAATCTTTTGTCACCAGGTATTTCACTTTTGATTGATGATACATACTATTTATATTTGTCGATATCAGTAGCACACAACACATTTTTAATTTTACAATATTATTATTAACTCATTCGTTTTGGTTGTTTGAATTTTTTCATTGACGTTGACAACTGAAATTGATCACTCTCTTTCAAGGTATGTGTATCTTGTGTATATTGCCTTAAGTTACAAGCATTGTAAGCAGAGATCGATAATGGTTAGGAGTAGAATCCAAGAAGAGCATTTAGTCCTATTCGAGACTCGTCCAAGAATTGATGTTCACTCTGAAGTGCTGGTACACTCAGTTGACGCGTCCCAAATAGAACGAAACTCACATATTGAATTTCACTGCTAACCACCATTCAACGCCGCTTAAATTTATTATTAATACTGTACTGATTTGTTGTGCAACCTCCTCTAAACCATTTGTTATTTCATCTGTTTTAAAATTATCTGTAATTTTCACTCAACTTATGTAAACTCTCTTCAAATCTTCCATAATTATTGCCTAATTCGTCTTGTTGGTTTCATAACGATGTATACATACATAGATTACTGATAAACATTGTCATTTCAACTTTCTTCTAGAATTAGTCCATTATTATTAGATTATGTTATCATTTGACATCAAGTCTCAATACAAATACAGTTGTAAGCAGATAAAGTGAAATCACAGAATGTTTAATGAATTCATGTTATTCTGCCTTGATTACCATTATAACTTAATTCAGAATAGGTGAATGCATGACTTGATTTCTTTGGAATTCATATTGTCAATATTGAATTTTGTCTATTTCTGTTACTACCCTGACACTGTTCTGATATATTATGGTTACTTAACCCAGTGTACATATGTCACAGATTTAACATTCCTTATGACCGCCTCTCTTGTTAGTTGACTAATTGAGCCCCACTTTGAGACATGTGGGAATTTTTATTGAGAACAATTTTATAAACCAATATTATTACTCGACCAATCAGTAGGCCTTGTATTACTGAACGAACTACCAACACAAGCTCCATCTAATACCTTTCATTACATTATCAGAAAAGATTTTTTCTAGGTTGTTTCTTTCTCGCTCTACACAAAGCCTTTTATAACAACGAATATAATTCCTTTAAGTCAATCAACATTAGACTGGAAACACACATTGAAATATGATGAGGAAACGGGACATATCAATAATTCTGAAGCCACATTATTTGCTGATGCTTTCACTATAATCTCCAATCATCATCTTTGTGTACATCAGATTTATTTGTAATGGTAGTGTACTATTACTAGTAGTGTTGTGAACGAGAACACAGGAGGGAACAACCGATAGTATTTAAATACAGAATCTTTTAGTATAATCTGAGAACCATACAGTAAATTTCTCATTTGCAAAATGTCAATCAGTTGTCTCAGACTTCATTGTTTGTTCGTTTTCCCACCAATCTGTTCTTGTTCTCTTTTCTTCAATTTTCTTAACCTTCTGCCGCCAGTTAAAACATTTTCGATCAATGATACATACTACTTATATCTGTCGACATCAGTAGCACATACGTCAGTATTTCTTCTTATTTATATTTCCTCCTTTTTTGTGTGTATGTGTTTTTGGAAATGTGAGATGTCCTGTCTTTTACTATTAGCTAGTCATGGTCAACACTCCATGTTTAGCTATGGGAATTTAGTGATTATATATGAATATGCAGAAGAATAACCGTACATTATCATTTCTTGGTCGACAAACGTTTTTTAAGAAGTTTAAAACAAGCATGATTTTCATTCTATTTGTTAAACAAACTACATTTAATTGACTGACTAATGGACTTATTTAACTGGAGATACTGATGTCGACAGATATAAGTAGTATGTGTCATCAATCAAAAGTGAAATGTCTGGTAGCAGAAGTTTAAAAAGATCAAAGAAAATAGAACAAGAGCAAAATGAGGTTGGTGTGAAAACCAAAGAACAATTAATTCTGAGACGATCGACTGATATTTGTAAAGACAACAGTCAAGTTTGAGATAGTTGATAGACACTATGCAAATTAGGTATTTACTGAATGGTTCTCAGATTTTACTAAGAGATTCTGTAATTTTGTATTCAAATACATTCGACTGTCCCCATTTGTGTTCTCATTTACTACAGTTTGACTTCATATATATTTCAAATAACAATCATTCAGTTAGCTGTTCGACTCCGACTAGACTAAATCCATTATTAACCATTATTTCATGAGAAACAGCATTAGTTTACTTGGTATGAATGATATTTTGTAAACGATATGATGTTCATAAACCGATGGGCATAGTTGAAAACTTAGGTGAAGTAACAAACCGACTACTAGTACTTATGGAAAGTTGTTATAAATGGAAGTGTAATGAGTAATTTTTTTGTATGGACTAATAAAAGCCAGGAGCAGCTAAATCAAAAGTGGTCCATGAAGTCATTAACTGTTTGATTTAGCAGTGTTGGAAGATGTAGATCAGCTAGTTCGGATCCTATCAACTATTCTACCCAATAGTTGGATATTGTGGGTGATATGGTTCAGAATAATTCAGAACGACGCTCAATGTATCTCGGCCCAATAGGAGTTTTAGTAGCTTATTGGGTCTGAGTTCCACAAAGACTTTTAGTTTTCACATGGTTGCAGGTAACTCTTGTTGATGAGAGCTAACTAGCACGAAACCCATGTTAACAAGGGCTTCTACAAACCATCTCCAATCGGATACTAAAATAGTAGTCTATTTATATAATGTCAAAAGCTTTAACAAGTTGACACTTTTTGGCTTTATACTAGTTAAATATCATTACCTTTTTCATCAATATTGTTTGGTCTTTTAACTGATCAGTTCATTATTCAATGCCAATCTTCGTATTTTAAACACTTATCAAAGTATATCGTTTATTTATTCCAATCAGTTTAGGCGATTGACAGAAAAATGAACTGACTACTATGTTGATGATATGATACAGTCAATTTTCCCGTTAGAGGTTAATTAGAATGATAAATTCCTTTAAATTTTAAAATGATCAAATAAACATTTCTGTATATATGTTGACTATAAAGTATTGTCTACAATATGAACTTTTATAGTTGAATTCATGAGTCAACTAAAGCAAAACCTTGAAGCACCGGACGGCTGTTCCAACCTAGTATAGCACTCTTCAGCCGTGCGCATCCATGACTCCCCCAGCGGGACTCGAATCTGGGACTTGCCGGTCTATACGCGCAAACCCTTATCCTCCAGACCACTAAGCTGGCACCCAACGGTGATAATGTTTAAGTTCAACCCCTCCCGATAATATAATATAAACAACATAGTCAATTGGTAAGTATTAAACCTGTTTAAAGTATTATATTTAATCATAATAATAGTAATAATAATAATGACTTCTTTTAAATAAGCAGATTAAAACAAAGTATGTTAAACAATGAACACTTATGCAAACGAATGAAAAGTCTTATAGCTAAACAGTAGTTTCATCAATTTAATAACACAATTCGAAATGAAACCCAAAAGAAGACAAAGATGTAAAATAAAATATAGAAGCCACAATACAGCATTGGATTGATCAATTTGACAGGTAAACTATAATTATTTATATCTTTCTTGTTACTAACGCACAGTATGTATGACATATATTGCATAATCAATTTAATGTAATCGTAATCTTTATGTAATAGTTATTACAATTTGTAAACTATTGATGAAACATTCTCATTAAAAACGAAACAAATAAGTCATTATCATCATCATCATACGGTATTCTGTATATGGGAATGATACATAAATTAAATAAGCGAGAAAAAAGGTACGAATGGAATTATCTTTTCTCCTTCGAACAATAGGGATTATGAAATAGATGTAACGAGATAGAAATAAAGAAAACTCTATAAGCAAACAATAAACATGGTTCATAAATAAAATAATCATGTAATGAATTATCTCCAACACCATGAATATAAAGTATGAAAATGTGGAAATCTAGTAAAGTATGTATGTGTGTGAGTGTGTGTGCTTGTGTGCGTTTATGTGTGAGTGTGAAAAACTTCACGACAACTTTCTTGTGTGCCATATCAAAAGTTAATAGATTAAAAGGAAATGTATTCATGAATAATAATTTTCATTTTGTACGATAAGATTTGCACTCTGTCTGTTGAATGAGCAAAGAAAAATGTTATTTTAATGAATAAGCGTATATTACTAAGTACACACACACACATGCACATACGGACACATAGACATAGATACCTAATTATTAGGCATTAGTACTACTTGGGATAGGTATTATATTTGGTTCATTTGTTGGTGTTAATTTCAATTGTGAATTCGTTGATGATGACCAGCCTAGATATTGTCTTCTTTGTGCTGCTTCACGTGTAGCTTGTACAGCTGCTTCATTAGCTTCACAGAGTTCTTTAATTACACTATCTAATTCACTTAAATATCGACGTGAATCATCTTTTGTCACTCGTATTTTATTATTAGAATTTAGTACAGGGTTATTGATGGGACTTTGTATAGATTCACTGTTGTTGTTGTTATTGTGGATGATAGCATTGTTATTGTTTACCTCTAAGGATCTACGGGGAATGGTCTTTTCAGCTCGGAATACTGAATCTACTTTAACTGGTAAAGAAATTGGTTTAACAATGTTGTTGTTCGTAGTTGATGAACATGTTGACAATGTGCAAGATGACGAAGAAGAAGGACTAGAAGTAACATTTGTATGTTGTTGCTTTAATGTTGGATGAGGTCCAGATAGAAATAATGAAGCTGAACTAGATTTGGAGTTGGTAAAGTGGGAAAAGTTACTTGGAAGTTGTTGTTTCTGTTGTTGAGGATCAGGAATATCTGAAAACAAGTAACACAATATCATCACTTACAAATGAACTAAACAGATGAATAAAATGAAGCTATTATTGTAGCGAATGCTACTCACAAGTTTGCTTGTAAGTAGTATTTAGAGGTACATCGCGTGGAATTTTCCACAGTCGACAGTTGAGAAGTGTTATAGGAAGTCAGAAGGCGCAGCGTATGCAGGATTTTGTAGAGACCGGAGGAGAAGACACTATTACCAGTAAGAAGTTTATTCATTCAGGTGAATTTGAGTTATTACTTTATTTTTATAGGACTTGTTTATTAAAGTGTTGTCAAACTGGATATAAACATGAATATTCATTTAGTATGGGTGATGCTTTGGGGGAGAATATTGAATTTTGTAGTTTACACGACGGACTAACTTGAGTTGGATAACCTACCAGAAACCGAGCGACATTCGAAAACTATTTCATTCTAGTATTGAACACAACAGCAATCTGTATCCTAAGCAACACATCGAAACTTAGAAGGCTTGAATGCGATCCTCAGTGAGGATATCGACGCGCACTGTTGAGGAGCTTTAAACTGGGACGAAACAAATCTCCAATACTTCATGATTTCTAATGGTTGTCTACCTTAAATAAGTTCGAGAAGTAAATTACAAAATTCAATAATCTCAACAAATCTTTTGCAACTTCTGAAAAATGGTGTAATGTGAAATTCTAGTTTGGCAATATTAACGAATCCTCATTGACATTTTTGTATGATAGCTGTAATGTATTCAGAGCGTTAACTTAATATATCTGAATGACTGATTGCATGTTTTATGTAATTTGGAGTCGTGAATTCTAATTCTGTACCGGATGAAGAGGTTTTGTTCAGGCAGCTAGGACATAAACTGTGTATATCTATTCACTACCTCGAATGATATGCAATGTTTACTGATATAGGAGTAAACTGAAAAAAGGTGGTGAAACCAACAAGTATCTTTTAAAACATTAGTTGTTGAGTTGAGCTATGTAGATATGCATGTATTTTATTATTTATTTAAACACATAAACATTGATACAAGAAGGCACCAAATAGATATGTGCTACACAAATCATTCGATTTGTGTAAAGGCTAGGATACTGCTCGGGTGCCCGAACCAAAGCAAGTGGTTTTCTTAGGGGGCCACACCCCGAGCCTTCTACCTAAAGGTCTAATCCACAAGGCCGTGGAGCAACGTAAGAAGATGCAATCCCATGGTGCCTGGTGACTAACGATTCGTTCACACGCCATTTGTTCCTTCAGAATCCTGGAGCCTATGTGCACCATTGGTTTAGAATCAGGGTTTTCCAACTTCTCCAGGTGGATCCTCCATACCCACCAACCCGGTTAAAGCGCCAATCATTCGCTTTTCGTCCTCTCAATTTCGTGAACAATACCCCCCGCCGCGAGAAGGCAGTGAGTAGGACTCCCCTGGCAGTGGTTGTATGTATGTATCAGGTCATTTGGGGTCTGTAAATAAGCATAGACTACCTAGGTGGGGTATACGCGATTGTATTTCGAGATATTGGCTCACGTAGGCCAGAATTAGTCATATATGCGTTCAGTTTTTGTCTTGAAATGCTTATCCAATTATCATTTCACTAATTCATTCTATCATCTTGAATCATATTGTCCATGTCTAAACCTCTCTATCATCATTGATAATGTTACTGCTTTTACTACACTCTGGGATTAATTGCCTTGATAATTTAATTTCACTGTGCTAATTTAATGTAGTAGCTAAGTAAATGATCATTTTTGTATTACATAACTTATTTTTTTAGGTCTATACTGTGTCCAATGTTTATATTTGACTAGAAAATGTCTAATGTTATCGGTATTTCACATTGGATGTTACTTAACCAAAAAGATCAGTCAGTTCTTAACTTCGGTAATTTTACTCTTGATATTCTTAAAGAATATTCAGTAAAAGTTGAACAAAATGAATATCAGAAGGGGTTTTGTGGAAATTGTAGTAATTTCAATAGTTGAAATCATTAGTCAATTGAAACTAGACCAGCATGCAAAACCTGGGAAACACTGGACGGTCGTTTCGTCCTATTGTGGGATCTCTCAGCGGTGAGCACCCACGACCCCGACCAACGGGATCCGAACACAGGATCTATCAGTCTCGAGCGTGAGCGCTTAACCATTAGACCGTTGAACCGGCCGGAATCCAACGGTGTTAATGTCTAACTTCGACTAATCCACAAAATTGGGCGACACAACCATCATTGTCATCAGTGAGTTACTATCTCGCAACTGACCTGGTTGAACTCCACTAGTCACTGCTTCTCTCTAGAATTCCAGGATATACATCATGAACATCTTCAACAAAATGATACTAAATGCAAACAATCTATGAATATTGTGAATGTTTGCAATAAGAAAAGATGTAAACATTAACTATATAATGTTTTATACAATTTCAAATAGTTAGTTTCATCATAATAAAAAAGACATGTATGAATGAATCACAGAATGTATACAGTATCTGATAAAAGATAAAATGTATAGAAAAATGTCTATATTCATGAAATCAGATGGAAGCACCCTACTGAGTTGATATCTCTATGTATTTAGATTAGTCACTAACTAAGTGACATGTTATAAGGAAAAGGAAAGAAAACAATCAGACTTTTTCTGAAATTGGTAACACTTTTAGAAACTAAAATCTTCACTGATATCTTTATATATATATATATATATATATATATATATATATATATATTTGAGACTATATTACCACCTACCTTTATATATAAACAAACCATTTTTCTCTATCGTCTATTATAAAAAAGCATAGAGTAGCATAGTTTATTAATGAAAAGAAAACTAAACATTCACTCTGGGATGTAGGTACATTTAGCAGATGAGTCCCAAATAGAACGGAACATGAGTTTTGAATTCCAGGGACAGCTACATTCCATTTATTCTATGTAAACTTGCATCATAATGGTTATTTTAATGCTAACCGTATAGGATATTCAAAAGTCTAACTAAAAGTAATCAAATTTCAGTCAAAAATATCAACAATGAGATAATTCAAACCATTTCAAATTGAATTAGTTATTTGTTGAGTTTGTAAATAATTGAGCTTTGAAAATTTGGTTATGTAAAATTATATGAATGTATTTTGATTGAGATCATGAATCAATGAATGCTAGACTACCACTGAAAGCATGAAAGCACTGAATAGCCGTTTCATTCTAGTGTAGGACTCCTTCACGATCCCACACTGATATATGAAAGTAATTTGATTGAGATTGTAAGGCGATCGATGTTAGACCACTATTGAGAACCCAGAAGAACTGGACAGCATTTTCATCCTGGTATTGGACGCCTCCAAAACCCCAAAACCCCAAAACTCCATTGATATATGAATGTATTTACGATTTTTGAAAAATAATTTTCTACATATTGTATATCACTCGAAGGTAATTTATAATCTAGGAATGAAAGACGCTGTAACGTTTAGGATCAAACAAGACTAGTTTGAAGCGATAAGTACCTCATACTATATATTGAAAATATATTAACGTTGAAACTATGGCCTACATTTTGATTCAGTAGCTCAATAAGGGCACTGTACGCTCCTTGCAATTTCATTGTTGTGAAAAGTAAGCTATCACTATTGAAAAGTTTTAAACTATTGGTTTCAAATCTCGCGAGGTGGGATCGTAAATGTGCACTGCTTAGGAGTTCCACAATAGAACGAAACGGCCGTCCAGTGCTTCCAGGTTTTCCATGGTGGTCTAGCTTCATTTGACTCATGATCTCAACTATTAATATTAAGAACTAATTGTTTATTATTCCATCCAGCTTGTGTTTTTCATGGGATTTTACTTGATACCTGTTCGTAATGAAAATTACCTTTAAATTATATGAAATCTTTAAAAAGAAACCTTGGTAGATGATTCAGAGTATTCATATGAATCGCACAATCTTGTATATTTGATATTGTTGAAAGTACGTCAGGATAATCATCAGTGTATTGTAGCAGTAATTATTAGTAAAGAAACTAAAACTTTACTCAATGAGTGACATTTAGAACTGCATCTTTGCAAAAGTCAAATCGTTGAGGCATAACTTTGATATTTAATAGAGAAGTTCGTTGAGAATAAGTTTACATTCAATTTTAGGATTGGGTTTACGTAAATCGATAGTGCGAACAGAAGAAATAGTAAAAAGTGATCAAAATATTTCACCGCGAACATGGCGATCTCGATTGTTGCTAAAGGTATATGGTGCTTGTCATTATCTTGTTTGCCAACACTGTAGAAGAATGATTCTTACTGAATTACTTATATAGGAAAATGGGTTTGGAATGGTTTTGACCATCATTGTAAGTGATCACAAAATCCTAAGAATAACTACTTGGCCATTTTTAAGGGTTAGTCCTACTTTGTTTTAGCCTTACCGTCAGTGAATGGAAATTCATGGAGTAAGGTAAGGTGCAGCACTTTTATGAAAAAGGTAGCATCACTGAAGATGCTATTTGTTTGAAGGAAACAAATTAATATCGTTACAATCGACTACAGTCAGCAGTACAATTCCGCCCCCCCCCCGAACTTTAGCCGATGCGTTTAGTTTACCGCATCCAGTCAACCTGTTTGTAATAGTAGAACTAAAACGGAATAAATACTCTAGCCAATATAGCTTGATTGGGTGATCACAATAGACAAATCGGATCAGCAATCCAAAGTAGTAGCTATGATCAGGTAAGCAAGTGATCATCATTATGGCTATTATGTTTACAGCTTAGTATAAAAACATTCAGTTGTGATAACTTGTTTGTACTATTAAGAATGTTCTTACTTAAATAACAAAAAAAAAATAATTGGAACTTCCAAATGAGAGTTTAATCCCCATGTATAAGGCAGAAAATTATGTATTTTTGAAAAAAGAAGACTTTCTATTACAGTCCGCTATTTCATATGTATGGTTACCATTGACATCATAGTAATTAAAAAAATATTGTTTGAATGAATGACCCTTTTTTA